TGAAGTATAAGAAACAAAACTTCAGTTCATTTCTGAACTCGTGGAGAGAGAAAAAGGTGCTTGCAACTAAATTACCCCAGGAACATCACATAACGCGGAAAATAAATTTGTAATCAGACTCCATTAATTGAAAAGAACTGTAGTGACTCATGGATACATTTTTCCTTGAAATCATGGTGTTCATCGTTCGTTTGGAGATTCCTGAAACGAATATAAAACTGCTATTAATTTGCAGTTTGCAATGATAAAGCCTTTTCGGCAACGAGTGATGCGAACTATTCTCTTTCTTATCAAATAGTACCTAAAATTATACCTTTTTACGGTAATTTTGTCCGATATTGTCTCGTTTGGAAGTTGAGAATATAGGGGACTATTCATATCCACAACTATATAATATTTTTCATTTAGAAATAATGAATTATGGTTGAAAATGTACAATGCGATATCAAATTTTGAGGTATTTGTTTCTGTCAAAAATAAGGATGAACATTAAGCAGTCGATAAATTTTACAAAACTTCATAATTTGAAATACTTCTTCGGAAAACTACACGATTTGAATTGGCAAAACTTTGTTTCCTAAATTTTATAGGATTCAATCATGTATGCAATTTCATCCATTGAATGAAAATACATTGATAAATTACATAAAGGTTCTGATCTCCACTCAAATATTCAAAACATTTAATTTTTTCATACCTTCTTACTTTCAAATTGAAAATAGTTTTATAAAATTTCGATAAATTGATGGATATAGCCGTTAACTACGTGGCAGGAGATCATCATGAAAAATAAGAAATGTTTTTATACAACTTGTATTTGTAACTAACGTTGCTGAACATTTCAAACGAATGCTATTCTGAACATTGTACGTTCCTTGAAAAATACATTATTATTATAACCAATAACCTAACCGATAGATCATGTAGTTGAAATAGGTCAAACTTTGAGTGCCAGAGCTTTCGTTCAAACTGGTGCACCACAAGGTACAGTATTAGGTCCAATATTGTTTCTCGTTCACATCAACAATTTGTAAAAAATTGAAAATTTTAGACCAATTTCTGGAGAACAGTAGGTAATAGTTGATGTTGATATCAAATTACGTTCATTTAGAAATCATAGTGTCCAAATTTTTATGACAAAAAAGGAAACTTTCAGACTCTTAGAATGTTGCAATGACACCAGATAATAAAATTTGAAAATTGGATTGCTACAAAGAATCCGATACGTCAATTTGATGAGAATTCTCAAGTTTAAAATTTTGTCACATCTACATCGATTTTGTCGACATATCTAAAGTAGAAAACAGTTGTGAAAGAATTCATCAAGAGTCCGAAGCCGCTAGAAATCGAAGAGAATAAATGAATGTACTGTTATTAAAAAAAAAACATCACTCACAAAAGTATTATCAACTTTTGACCTAAATCGAAAACATTAGTTTCAGACAATAGAAGTCATAGATATTGCAAAACTTTCATTTTTATTATTATGTTACAAGTAACTACTACCTCCATCTAGTGGGAACTCTACGTTTTTTGGAAACCAGGATCCTGCTAAAACTTCACTATAGGTACTGATCTTCATTTCTCTAGTGAAGTGCTGGTCTATCAAAGCAAGGTATTGTATTGTTGTATTTTTGCTACATTCTGATTAGTACTTTCTATGGTTTTTTGATCTGCTTGTTTCCTGGAAGATGAGGTCTTTTCTGTTACTTAGAATTTTCTAATTAGTACTGTGTCCAGTCTCATTAGTCTTCTTTAAACTGACATTTAATTTTCTGATTGGTATCAAAACTTGATTTATTTGAGGACTGAAAGGTTTAATTATGTTGTGCCTTGTATTCAAATCAAAATTGAATATCTGAATGACGGGAAAAAAGCCAGACCAGAAGAATTGAAAAATACCATTTTGGTAGGTAGTTTCGCAATTTTTTTTTGATTTCTATCGGGTGATGTACAACTCGATAGCGAATACCATTTTCGAATCTCCCTTCATCTCTTTAGGAAATCAGGGATTTCTAGTTTTTTTGTTGGCAACGAATTCCTCGAATACTCATTCATCATCCGAGCAATACCTAACAAGCTCGAACTTGGAATACAAACCCGGCGATCGCCGACCCCTTTCCGAATTCCACTCCACTCCGCCCTCACATATTGCCTTGCAAAACATTAACATTCACCGTCGCACACATTAGGGGTGATTAGCGCAAACGAAAAAGGGTTTGGAAGAAGGGGAAAGGGGGGCGAGGAACGAAAGAGACAGTTCAGAAGCTAGTCACGTCACTGGAGCTTATAACTTGTATCAAGTAAACCCGTAATGCTTGACGTCTTTAAGGTGGCACTACTGATGGTGCGCCAGGTGACAGGTACGTGCCAAGGGGTTTTCAGACTGCAATTAGGAAGTTTTGCGGGACTCGAATACCGGTAAGGAAAGTAAATATATCGGAGAGTGCTCGGAAGTTGCACAAAGTGACACGCTATCCATGTGAATGAAATAAATCAATGATGGTCATCACACTAGAGGCAAACATCTACCTTAAATTGCCCAGCAGGCGAGTTTATTAGCATCCTCACATTAATTGAATAGAATTGTTACTGCCTTGAATGAAATACATGTGAGCAATCAAGACTGAAGAAGATAAATACTTTTTCAAACAACTGATTATATGACAGTTTCATGGCAGAGTAATTCTCAATCAAACCTAGCCCAGCATATTTTGAATACAGTAGTTGCGTATGACTGAAAGAAATCAATACAATTTCCAGAAGAATTTCATAAGTTCACCCGGTTGTATGTATGCTTGTCTCCAGACGTGTCTCTCATAGTAATCTGTTCGCGGGGAGTCGCTAAACATCACCTTCTTTTCTATAGAAAATTCTGGATTACTTAGATTCAGAAGATCAAACTGATCTTCCTTTCGAAGATGATCACTTGGTGATCGAAACACGTGCCGAGGTGTTAAAATAACAGTTTGGTGTTGGAAAAAAAACCAGTTATATTCATTATTACACCAAAGGTTCCAAACAGTGCATCCCAAATTTTGATAGTTATCGACTTATTATAGACAATGAATATTGAGGGAATGACTACTATCATAGAAGCTGCGCATAGAGAATGCTGTTCGAAATTGGCGACAGCCACATAATTATTCATTGTGATCGAAATCCGTGTGATTAATTGCGAGATTTCAATAGCGAACTTACCAGTTCAAAACTGGAATACCATCTACTGGAGCAACTAATTGCAGAAGTGAGGAAAAATAATCTCATTCTAAGGGAGAACAATAGTCTTTTAGTGCTAAGAATTCATGATCTAGAACAAGAAGAAGCTGAAAAAAACACAAAACAAACCAAAACAATTTGACCTTCAGTTAAGCGCTCACAACTCTCTCAAGACCAGAAAGAGAAGGTATAGTAATCAACAGTGTTGTCAAGGTATCCAGTGTAAACTCGACGATATAATTAAGGTCTGTAACAATTCCAACAGCAAATCAAGGAGAAGTAGCAAATTCAGTTCTTAACCTTATTCAAAAATATAATAATTCTACTGGCGAACATGAAATGGAAGTGATCAGTAAACAAGAAGGTAAATTCAAACTAGTAAACCGCAGGAGACGGCGACCAAAAAAATTTTGGGACTATAGATGTTGGTGAAGAGAACTCTAAAATGGATTCTATGGCGTTGACAAAAAAGTCTGGTTATATGTAAAAAGGATTAGGAGAAGTGCAAGAGAAGAGCACCTCGTACAGTATATCGCTGAAAGAAAAGGCTTTGATGAAGACATGATTGAACTTAAGGAAATACCAAGCAGCCCAAATCATCTTGAAAGGTTTGTGGTTACTGCTCCTTTTGAAAAAAGGTAGGAAATATACACGGCAGATTTCTGGCCGATAAATGTTGGAGTGATGAGATTCAACTTCAAAAACAAAGAGATTCCCTCAACGAACAAAACGAAGGCGATTTTTTTCTGTAGAAGCATCAACTGAAATCACTTTTAATAATCACGAATCCTCATCAGATTCTACATTTGACTTTTGCCCAGTTCAAAAAGCAAGCTATTTGGAAGATTAGGTACTTCTGATACTCTCAAGTTGCCGCAGTTCCTTTTTTTTGATTTGTCTCAAATTTACGTTTACAATTTATATTTTGCCTCAAATATAGTTAGTAACTATTTTTTTACCTAATGGGGAATGTTTCTCAATTAGGGTTATTACAGCAAATGCAAGTTTGAACAAAATATAGTTGAGTTTAATTGTTTTTCAAAATCACTTCGAAACGTATTGAAATTGATGTTTCAAATGTTGGGTTTTAATTTTTAAAAGGAATTGTTTCTCATTCACATATTGGTAACAGCGCCTATATAAAGGCGAAATAATTCATACGTACCTAGAAATTCTACTTTAAAAAAGGAAAATTATCTTTATAAATCAACAATTAAGGCAAAATATAAATTATAGTTCAATAACACATCCACAAGCCACATAAACAACAGTTGTTTTGTTATTTATTTATACAGAAGAAGATAGGTTGGGTGCACAAAATGTCACAGAATGTCTCGGAACTCGAAACATAAGTAAACAGAACAGCACGCCTCTGAAATGTGTCATCTTTGTTTGTCTCATACAGGTAACAGATTCATTGTCCTTTATTAGCTATAACCGATGTTGCCAAATGGTGAAATAGAAACGAATCCCTTTAAATGTTGAATGCATTATTTCATTTCTCCTTTTTAAGTATTTAAATAATTTTTTAAAGAAAATGGTTGAAATGATAAGTTTAAAATCTGTTGTTTTAGAGCTCTTTCATGAAAACTACTTAATTTTCATCAGGAGGAACATTCCTCATTGAAACATTATTAATGATGAAGTGTCATAGATAAATATAATGTTGGACTCAAAATTTCACGTAATTTTTTAAGGAATGAATCACATCTCAGACATTATTGATCATTCTCAATCTCTGACTTGATATTTTCTCAAAGCATGCCACGACTAAAACTCACCTCTACCAATGCTGTTAGGTGATAATGACCCAGGAGCCACTGTCGGCGGTGCTGCCATTTTACTGCTTCCTTCACCAACAGAAGCGCTACCGACAGCAGAAACGCTCTGTACGCCCTCTCTCGCTACTTCCTGCAAAGTACTGGCAGCTCTAGATCCCACTCCTGCCGGTTGTAATATGGTGTATTGTTTACTGACTCCTTCAGGACTCTTCACTTGAGGTTCGGCATTGGTTTCTGTTGGTTTCAAGGTCGTTATACTCTTTGCTTTATCCACGGCCGGCGAAGAATCACCAGGATATCCCACGAAAGTAGCCTCAGCGGGAAATGGGCCCAGAGGAGGATTTTTCGTTTGGGGAGGACGAAACGCAGATGTGGTTGAGAATGGAGAGGGATTGGCAGGAGTACGAGGAAAGGAGTGAAACGTTGTGGTTTCTGAGAGAAATTTCGAAGGTTGTTTGGAGTCTTCCTTTTTCTTTTCTTGGTCAGACTTATCGTTTGACTCGTTTTTTTCCGAAGCAGCCTCTGACATATCGATTTCTAGTTCGTTCGAAGAATCGTCTACGAGTTCGTTGAAGTCTGGAGACTGGTAGTGGACCCGGCTGCTGGTCTTAGATTTGCTGCTGTCGCTGGACTTTGGACTGCTTCGGCATTTGGAGCTGTTGGATTTTTCATCAGAGCTTTCTTCATGCTCGTGCTGTTCCCTCAACGTTATAACATCTTTCAGCGAGCTGGCGTTATCGCTGCTACAGTTAGACGTCGAGCATGGGGACATTTTAACGATGGCTTTCTTCTCGTCGAAAAGATTCTCAAATGCCGGTGCCTCTTCGTGGTGACTCGTATAACCTCCTCGGGGGCCTGGCCAGCTGCCCGATAGGTTTTTCAGAGCGGCCTCGGTTTCGCGTATCAGCGTTGCCTCTGCAGCACCTTCGTCGCAAGACATCTTGGGGCTCTTTTTCACGGGGCTGGCGGTATTCGAGGGAGGTAGCACGCGTTTCTTTTGAGGAAGGAGAAGGGATTTGACGTCATCAGATTTTTTTCGCCGCTTATCCTCTAACGTTTCTAAAGTCTTAGTGAAGCTTTTAGCCACGGTAGCCATGCTAGCAATCTCGATTTTACGCTTTTTCAGTTGTGGTAACCCAAATGGACGACTGGACCTGTAAAAGAAAGGTATGCTGAAGGACCGTTGATTAGACGAGTGTTTGAGGTTAGGAATAATTCATCTGAAAAATGATAAAATTTTATTACTAATGCTGTCTGGTTTTTCTAATTTGTTCTACTGGTACTCTGTTGATAATTTGTATACGGTAATTTGCTGACAATAATTTCTTATGCAGCTCATTTATTGAAGTATGGCCATTATTATGCTTATCCTGTATTGAAAAGGTGAAAGCATGAATTAACGCATATTGAAGGAAAATATTCTTCGTAATTAGGATAGTACTAAGGATTTCTCATTGACGAATGGTTTCAACAATGATTGGTTTAATAATTGAATCAGAGGAGTTGTCTCAGCTTCTTGTTATTGCAATCTGGTTTCCGTTAACACTTGAAGATGCAGTTGAAAGATACTGATGTTGAAAAATGTATATGATTTTATAATATGAAATATTGAATGAAAAAGAAAAGTAAACACCCATTTATACTGAAAATAGTTCAAGAGTGTTTTGCAAGTGTATTTATGTTGAGGCCAGTAAAAAGCCAGTAAAATTTCAGCTGCATTGGAAGCTATTCTTACCAGATTTTCACCTGTTTTTCATGTCAGCATAAATGTGTGAGCATAAATGGAGAAATGGTAAACCATTTCTCCAAATTTTTTTCTTATTTGTGCTTTAACTGTTGAAGTTTCTTGTGGAGTGCTTCATATTGTTAACACTATGCCTCGAGTTCGAAAACTTTGTCGTATTCCTCAACTTAGTGATTTTGTTGGCTTAGGTGAGGCAGGTTTTGCAGTTAGAAAAATTTCAAGAAGAACCAATCGATTTTTGCGTATTCTGAGATGTTATCAGGCACGGACTCAAGAAGATCGTCGCAGGGGTACAACAGTGCGTGAGGATCGCCGATTATGACTTTTCGCTCTAGGGATCGGTTGCAGGGCAACTGCAAATCAGTGGTTTGAAGAACACGGAAGGGTTGGAATGCTCACAGTATATCGTCGAATAAAAAGTTTCGGACTTTTTTCTTATCATCCCTATTGAGTGTTGCCACTGACTCTCGAGGATCGACGCAACCCATTGCACTGGTGCAGAGACATAATAAATTGGGACCACCAATAGAACCGCGTAGCGCGTAGCGATGGATATCGCTTTTGTTTGAGTATGCACGATGGACGAGCAAGAGTAAGAAGGCGTCGTGGTGAAAGACGAGATCCCCAGTTTGATGTGGAGAGGCATGTTCACCATACTGTTGGTTTAATGGTATGGGATGTCATTGCATATGGTGGCAGAACACCTTTAGTTTTTATTAGAGACAATATGATAACCCTTCGTTATATTCACGAAGTAGTCATGTCCTTCCATATCTTGAGACCATCGAGAACCCCATATTTCAACAAGACAACGCTGGACCGCATGCGGCTGGAGTTACTCTAGACTTACCATGGCCACCACCGCCTACCATGGCCACCCAGATCGCCTGATCTTTCACCGATCGAATATGTGTGGATTATTCTTAGTCGCAGACGTATCCACGAGTATATAAGACATCGAGGATCTGCAACACACTACTGATATTGACTGGTTTCACGATCATCCAATTTCTCTGAAAACTTACTCGTTTGTTTGCTATTGTCTGTCAAGTATGTAAGTAAAAAATTATTAAAATATTTTCAATATAAATGGGTGTTTACCTTTCTTTGTCACTTACTAAATAAATTGAGGTTTTTGATGGGGCAGTTTGGTTTCTCATGAAATCTTTGAAATTAACTTCTGATAAAGTACTGAATTTCCAATTTTCACTAGTAATTATTTGAAATGCATGTGATGTAATATGTTTACTCTCTGGAGATGGAGGATATATCATTTATCGTTTCAAACACTTATTATTTCATTTCACATTGACAAGATATTTTCACGAATGATCTTTTAGATTTCCACGTGACCGGGAATTTCCCCGACATTATATTTTCACCGATCTCCCTTGTGGACAGCGATTCCGATCCCCAACAAACAAACTTTCATTTAAGCTCCCATTTCCGGGTTGGAGCCCATACAAAAACGCCAAGTCACACACTCCTTTTTATTTTGATTTAATTTGTATTTATCGCCAGCACTCAGGTATGCCAACCCTTTCGCGAAACACGATTACATTCATTGGGTTTTCGTATTCGGCGCATATTTTAAGAGACAGTATTAATATTTTCCCCCGTTGTTTTGTGCAACCCTAAAACGTTTCTCCCCCGTCCGGAACCTAAGTAGAAAAATTCGAACGCAACACCCCACGATGTGATGCATGCTTACGTGGAAAAGGAGGGCAGTGCATGCACGAGCGGGTAGGAGGCGTTTTCGGAAAGGGCGATCAAGGGATTGTAATCGTTTTCCGATATCATCATAGTTGTTGAGAGAACTGTGGATACATATGTGAATTTTTCTCCGTCAGAATAAAGTTGTGATAAAGAAAAACCCTCGGAAAAGATCTAACTTACCTAAACCTAACCTAGGATGAAATCAACTCAAACGTAACTCAACCTAACTTAAACCCCATTCATCCCCACAATAATTGCTCAAAATCGGCCGTTAAGCTGAAGGTAACTCAAACCTAACCTAATCCAACCTATACCCTAACCTTTCATCATAGTTGAAATATTCATCCATGACTTGACATATAACCTTGAAACTCGTATGAATTTTTTAATGATCGTCATCGAGTATGATACACATTTTGTTTTAGTTTTGGATGAGGAATTCAAAAAATAGTAATCATCAAAATCGGTTATCAGTGAAATTTTTCGCCTGAATTGAGAATGGAAAACGTTCGAAAAGAACACCTATCAACCTATGCTGAATTCTACTCAAACCTGTCCTAACCTAAACCCTAATGATCCCTTTAATTACTTCGAATCAACGAAGCCTTCGTTATGCAGCCCTATTTTGTTCATGTGAGGTCTAAATGGACAACATCCATTGATATATACGTTATGTATATGTAGTGAATATTTGAAAGTAGAGACCGACTCAATGACATTCTGTTTCAAGTTTTTCTTCACTGATTATCTTGCAACTTTGATGCAATTCTTCTTTTGAATTGTTCAATATCTAAGTGTCGAAGTACGATTGTTTTTAAATATTATGGAGACAAAGAGATAACACCGGGTTCAGTATCGAACCCTGTGGGACACCATCGTTAATGTTGATTCATATCTTCAATTCTTCTGCTATTCAAATTTGAAATGATTTTGTTGCTTCTGGATAGAAACTAATGAACTTAGGGATTTCCAACAGGCTTTGAACAATACCAAAAGCTTTAGAGTCAAAAATGATGAAATCAATATTATTCACAGTGATAAATATCTTCAGTCAAATTGAGTAACGTTATATAGGCATGTCTAAACCTGTCTGATTGACAGTTTCAGACATGAAATGAAAATATTCTGAGCTTGAAAAGTAAAATTAACTGAGAAGTAGTTGGATCTAACTAGCAACCTACATAAATACCTAGAATATCAACAAAGAGAAAATATTGAAGGGAGAATTCACAACAGTTATTCAAAAACAATTCAATACTTTGTGTTCATACTAATATTCAAGTGATCACCTAATTATTCCGATAATTTGAAATTATTCATGAGTCGATTTTTTTAGATTTGTAGAACCATATTCCGATTTTAATTCCCTTTTTTGTATGAAGATAGAAAAGTTGAAAGCCAAAACCTTCTTTTCCCAAAATGTTTGATTATGTATTTGATTGAGGGGGCTGAGGTAATGAATATTTCTAACGAAGGATTTTGTTATTATTTTATAGATCATGGAGATTCAAAAAGTTCACATCTGATTCATTGTTGTTTTTCACACATTATCACAAATTGTGAAAAGATATATTGATAATATTACAAATCTACATTATTCAGTTTGTTTTCCATGTAATCAAACACGAAAGTAATTTAAGAAGTGATTACATTTTAGGCAAAACATGTTTGGCACGAAAATTTTGTGTAATGGTAATCATCAAGACTGATATAATTCAGATATAAAATTCATTTATTCATCTAGAAAGTTAATTAACAAAGTGAAGAAGTACAATTAATACAGTCATCTACTGGAATAATGTCGCCAAACATTTATGTAATGTGGAGTATGAACTGTATGCGAAAAAGAGATCATCGTATCATTCAATGTTAAATTTGAAAGTAGTTGTTTCAGATGATTTTCCATCCCTGTTTGTATCTGAAGGAAACTTAAATATTCCTTTTTCACTATATTTTCATTTAAGCGTTTTGTCATTTTTGATGAATTTTACATTTCAGTTCCACCACACCCCATTCCTACGCCTATGTTTCCTTCTGGAAGAAGGCAACAAGAGAGCCACTGAAAGCTCAGACAGTAGTTCCCCCTCGTTCTATATTGGGGGATTGGGGTTCGACCTTGTCAGATCGAGATTCTCTTTCACTCCGGATCCGATTATTTTTATATGTGTGTCGAGTAAACCTAAAAATGTTATGATATCACCGTCAAATTCACTCAAGATTCAATAAGAGGCGGATAAAGGGATTTTTCGCGAGTCAGACCATTTATGTCGACGATTCCGACTGTATTACCCGATCCAGACTGAAAGAAGGAATGAAAATATTTAAACAAAGAGAAAATATTGAAGGGAGAATTCACATCAGTTATTCAAAAACAATTCAATACTTTGTGTTCATACTAATATTCAAGTGATCACCTAATTATTCCGATAATTTGAAATTATTCATGAGTCGATTTTTTTAGATTTGTAGAACCATATTCCGATTTTGAGCTCAATCAAGAGTTTTCAATTGTTTTCAATTGTTTTCAATTTCTACCTCAAATTGACTGAACGAATCGTTGTTAAACAATTTTCTTTTCAAGCGTTGTGATTATAGGTACATAGAAACGAACACTGATTCAAGAGCAAGTTCAAAGAAGGCGTACATACACATATAATGTATATTTTTTTAGATTTCACCCATTATTGTTTATTT